ATATTGATATCGTGTATTTTCATATAAAATTTCTATATTAAAAATCTAATTGTACAAATATTTAATGTCAAATACGAGCATATAATCAGAAAGAGCTTATTTTCTAATACTAATATACATAATTTTTCGATAATCTAATTAATTTTGATAAATATAATCATAATTCAAAATATAATAATATTATTATTATACTAGCTATTAATATTATTGAGAAATTATGCATACTGATACACAATTGAAATTTTTTAATATTCTTTTCAATTTTTGTTTTAATGATACTTGCATTTTATTTGTTCTTATATTTTATGCTTATATTTTATCTGGAAAGTTTGCTATAGTTGATAGGTAATGTTTTGTATAACGATCTAATTACATTTATTATACAGATGTAAGCAGGGGTACTTGGTATTGGGAAGCCACCATTGAAGAGATGCCAGAGGGATCTGCCACGAGACTCGGATGGGGACAAGAATATGCAAACTTACAAGCTCCACTTGGCTATGACAAATTTGGTTACTCATGGAGATCCAGGTATTGCATATCACCATTAGACAGAGTGTGAAAAAAGCGGACCCCTTAATATTTTGAAAAGTAAGCATTTTTGTAAAAAAATTTGCATACCAAAGTTATAGGGTTTCAAGTGGCGTATTACAGTAATAATAGAATAACTTTGGATATCATCCTCAAGGTCACGTAAAAATCACCTGAAATTTTTAAACAAAAAACCCCCATTTTTTTATTACATATTTTTATAACTGACTTCGAAAGTTCTTTCTCTCAGAGTTTTCTAGAGAAAATACTATAATAAATACATAACCAATAGGAAATAAAGCCCATGGTCAATTGATCAAGTTCAATGATCTTTAGTGCTTAAATAATTCGTGAATTTATATACTACGTATCTAATTGCTTCAGTAGTCTAAAGGCTTAGGATGCTCGTGCGAAATGCAAAAGATTCAGGTTCGATCCCCGAGTGAGGTAATATTTTATAATAAATTATTTACAGATTTTAATATGTTTATCAGCATCTTTAAAATCTTTTTAAGATGCCTATGAACGTCAAATTATTAAATTGCAAGGCAATTTAATTTGTGATAGTATTACGATAATTTTGTCGACGTAAGTCGTCGTTTCAAGATCGAAAAATCAATTCGACGCAGTTTGGCAGGATTTGATCGTGGTATATAAATTCACATCGAATTATTTGAGCTAACTAAAGATCCAGCTTCAACCGTTATTGACTTTATTTTCTATTGGTTGTGCATTCACATGTGCAGTTAAATAAGATTCTCACTATAATAAAGTTTTTTTTAAATTAGTACTTTTCAAGTAAGTTTCCTAAAGTATTCTTTTCAAGAAAAGAAAAGAAGTGTAGTACATTTTTTATAGAAAAGGAACACGATTTCACGAAAGCCGTGGCAAGCATTACAGCGACAGTTATGGTGAGGGTGATACCTTGGGCTTCCTTATAGTTCTCCCAGACACACATGATGCATCACACATTCCGAATACTTATAAAGACAGAGTGAGTACAGCAAACTCATTTGTAAAAAGTAAATTACATATACATATATGTATTATATATACTGTATACAATATACAATATACATAATACTAAGTTAAACTTAG